GTTCTGAATTCTCAAATTTTTGAGGTTATAAATTTTCCAGTCAAATATCCAAATCCACAAAATTTCATGGCTCAAAGTTTCAGCTCCCTGAATTTTTATTAATTTTTAAAATTAATTTGAATCGAGGTAATAGGAAAGTACCGTTTTATATGCACATATATTTCAATACTTTATTATTTAAAATAATAATAAATACAGATTTACCGCCTACATAGCTCTAAATATATTGCCTTCTTTATACATATTTTTTATACCTGCAATATAGCCATAAAATTTACTATAAGGCAAGGATTTAAAAATATAACTAAAAAAGTTGTTTTAAACAACGACGTAAATACGAACGTAAATTTTCGACAAAATCAGCGCAAACCGTACTAAAATATATATATTGAATTTATCTGGAGATTTTAATGTTTCTGTGGTTTAATAAGATTATTTCATTCGGTGATTCTATAATGTATTAAATAAAAAATTGTATCCGGGCAAAATTCACAAAAATTTAAGAGTAGTTTCTACGAGTCTACATGACAGATCAGAGTAAACTACATACGAATGACGAAGGAAACAAAATGGCGTACATTTTTCAAACATTCATCGCTAAAAAATTTAGGTAATTGTACACATGCAACATACACGACGAAAGCGCAATTAAATTACAACTTACGATGGAGCTACGTGAAAGAAATAATTTAGATGTAATATAATCTAATGCAAACTACGGTAAAACGTTGCTTTATGTAGACTGCGATACATGTTAATAGAGATTGAAGATATTACACGATCAATATAAAATACGGTAGACTTTAGTTACATCGCCACCGACGAAGAAAAGTAGAATTTGCAAATTTGTCAATTTAGTAGTTTAGGGAATTATAATTAATATTTGATCAGAATAGAAGCTATTCGTTATTGTTACAATAATTTCGTTTATTTCAAAATTTTTGTTCGAAAAAGTTCGACTACATTTTACAAAAAAGAAGAAGAAATATTAGTTCTCGAATAGCTTTGTCTTATTTGAAATTTATTAGTAGCAAAAATGTATTATAAACAAAAATTGTATCTTACCTTATGAAATAATGAATTTGTTTTGGAGTGAACGAAATATATCGGAATTGTTTTCCCAGTGACATTCAATTTTATCTGCTAAAGAATCTATTACTATCGATAAAATATTAAAAAAGTATCGCTTAAGAAAATGAAACTGATCCATATTTCATTTGAAACTACCATATGTGCATTATTTTTATTTTTGCTTATAAAATAACTCCCATTTGCGTCTTATAATTAATCTGCAATTGTAAAATAATAAGATGCATATGACTGTATATATACGTACAACATTTCTATAAACTCGTGTTATTTTAGCTAACAGAAGATTCCTAATGACAACGAAATAATATCTATGGATTCGATAAACAGTGTCACTAACGCTGATATTTTGCTAATGTTATATATTTAAATATTATTTCAATTAATTGTTAATAATGGCTAAAATATTTCCGAAGAAAAACGAATGTATCCATGTATTTTGTAAACTCAGTTCTTTATTTACCAAAATCTTCAATAAAACGACGCTCTTTTCGTATATAAAACTTCACTGTTCAGCGTTAACCTGTTCACTAGACGAATTTTTTCGCAAACCATCGATACGCGTAGTATTTTACTTTGCACTCTATCTCATTGTTCACTATTGTTGCAGCACTTCACTCATTTATAAAAAATCACTTGGTATGTAATTGAGCAAACACGATAAGGCAACACGGTTGAAAAAGTCAGACTAAATAATCCGAACAGCACGAGCGCACACGCGTGACTAACAGTTACAAGAAACGCGAAACGCGTTTCAAGCTTGAGTTGCCGGCGACGCCATGACACTTATCCGAGTCAGCGAATAGGAAAGAAGGTAAGCACGGAGTGGGGACAGAAGGCCACTTGCGCGCCAAAATTGAACACCATAATTATAAATTGAAGTATTCATCAGTAAATTACAAATTATAAAACGTTAAATAAAAACTATTGAATGTAACGATTAATAATAATACTTTCGTCAGTTTTTGTTGCGTAATCTGACTCGATAAAGTGGCTAGTTAAAATTTGCTTTAATACCAGTAAAATTGTAAATAATTTTAATTACTGGAGTATTTTTCGCGGTACACAGTTTTATTATAAAAATTATTGAAGAAACGAATATAAAATAAGGAGAGAAAGAAATTGAATATTAGAAGGTAAATTGGTAAATAAATTAAATTTTAACAACGAATTGTTTCGTCCAAAAGAAATTAACAGTTACTAATGTTAGGGACTGTATGCAATATAACGCAGCACATCTCTTTGTTGGAAAGATTTCATTTTTGCGAGGAAACACCTGCCAACTGTTTCACAAATACATCAGCAATTTCTATGGAGTTATTGATTTCTGTATGAACAGAAAGTTGCCACAGTGACAACTTCGACGGCTTATTTGATAAATAGTTTGAATGAAGTTCTAAATAATGAGCCACAGTTTTAAACATTACAAAATTGTGTTTATCATATATCACTTGACGTACTTTATAAAAGTGTTTCTTAAAATAACTCTGCTTTCAAGTACATGAATAATTAAAAAGAAGTATACGCAGGTCATTGATAAAAAAGGTAAATGATACGTAATTATCAAAACAGTGTTATCACAAGTAAAGTATTTACATTAATAGTTATCAATATGCGTTAAAGAAATTCGCTTTTATGTAACAGTTGTATATAAATCAGTTTGTATAATAAATTGTCCTTGAAGAAATTTTCTTTAGTATAAAAATAGAGGAAAAAGATACTTGTTTGCTGAAAAAGAACTTAAAGTTTCCAATCTTGAAAAAAATAATAAAATTATTTGAAAAATGTTATAATCTTTAATTAATTATCAGGGATAAGTTGTATCTTTAAAATGGCTGGAGATGAACAAAAATGTCATAGGACAAAATTAAATGGTGTCAAGTACATTTTAGAATGAAGTCTATACACTTTCAGAAAAGTGTACATGCACTACTAGATTTAATAATAATGGAATATTTAAGACTATAATAAAAACTTCCCATTATAAAAATTAGGAATCGAAAATCATATAGCATTAATGTCTAATACTTCCAAATGAAATGAATCACTTCATAATTTAACAGTAACCGAAGATGAAAAAGAGTATTCATTTTCAATTGTATCTGAACTGAATTGTAAATGAAATTCTAAGAATTAATGGTTTATTGAACTAGTATTTACTCGATAATCGATGGTATTGGAAAATCTATTAATAGCGCATCGATAAGTGACGTGCTAATAAATGAATTATTAGACCTTAATTTTTGTAACAAAAACCTAATATAAATTATTAAAATTGCGTATAATTTGTTCTATCAATTCTTCTATAGTACACATAATTAAGTTACCATTGAGTACTTAAGATGATTATAGCATAAACACGTTTTGTTATGAAATTGCTTTATTCAACTGGATATATCGACATGACAATGTTACTTAATTTTGTCCTATGACATTTTTTCCATCTTGAATTGTTTTACAGATATAGCCTGTTTCAGCTATGCAGATCACTCTGTATATCTCTGTAATATTTAATAACACCGATATTAATTTTGCATATTTTAAAAAATGTATTATTATACACAGATAAAAGATGTTACTACAAAAATATGCTACGTAATTGTACTGCATTTATAAATCATATCATGCTTGTATCATGCATGAGAAGAGAAATGTCAAGTAATAGGAATGATATTCAATTACTGTTGTTTACATTATTATAGTGTATGTTATATCAATATATACAAAACTAGACAGGTCTTAAATATTTGTTTTATATCATTTCTTTGCTTCCAGAATTATAAGAAAGTATAAATCGAATGCAGATTTTTGAAAAACCAAAAAATTCATTCATGATATTCGGGGTGCTTTTTCGGTATGTCTGAAGCTCATTAAATTATGCGAATCGAATTAAATGAGTTGAAATTCATTTATATTTTACTTAAAGGTAATTCATGCAATTATCTTCAATTATGAGAAAATTACTGAAATAAATATGAAATAAAATATGGTATTGCCAGGTGTTTTGTTATTAATATTTACATGTTTAAAATATTTCCTACAGAAATTTTACCAAGAATTGGGAAAAGAAGTTCTAATTAATTTTGAAATGTTTTACAAAAACTGTCAAACTTTGTGATGTACCTAAAAAAACAATCAGTATTTATAAACTGAAACATTTATGTATACTATTACACAACTTACCTTAAATATCCTAAAAATTCAAATAAAATTCTAATATAATAATACTAATAATAACATACTTAAGTTGTTATATTAGCATAAGAAATTTGTTAGTATTTCAATTCTTTCCCATACAAAAAGTGAAATATATCACCCCTAAAATATTTACATTTATGTACACAATTCTCTTCTATTATATATTCATTGTATAAATCTGATTTTATAAATATTTAACGATATAAAAAGTTAACAATTTCGATAGAAATTCATTTCAGTAGAAATTTCAATTTATGGGTGTTAATCCTGAAGATTAACAATTTATATTATACGTTTAAATTTCATTGTTTCAAACTTTGCTTGCAAAAATTTTATAATAAAACATGGCACTTCAAACACCAGTGTTTATAACGTACAATAAATATGAATTGACATGTATAACACAAAGCAAAGCAACATATACACAATAAATATATATGAAACACAAACAACAAAAGTATTCTTCAAGCTACAAAAGTTTTGCATTTTTTCAAGTACATTAATACCAATAGGGATAATGATCTCTCGTTCCAATAATATTAAAAAACAAAAAAGAAAGAAAAGATAATGCTCATGTATCATCTAAAAACAATTTTAGTATATTTTACTTTAATGTGATCTTGTCTAGCATAATACCATGCATTACTTTAAATCATGGGCATTATAAAGCGGTTAGAAAAGTTAAAAGTAATGGAAAAGCGTTAAATACACACCCTATTTCGTTGGCTGACTGATCATTGTTATTGGTTGATCCACCATTTACATTGTTATTAACTGTATTTGAATTATTAGTCTGCTGTAGCATTTGACACGTGCCCAATAAAGAGGTCCATTGTCTCATCACTTCTTCACCTTGAGCTTCCAATTCAGAGAGGATAGTAGCATCATCCATATCTTGCAACGCGGTATTTGACTCTACCCTACAATACAAAAACAAATACAGTCAATCTATTGATCAATTCTGCTAACATGAAAATCAAACATAACATAATTGTCTACACGTTTTACAAATTTTGTTACATATTATTTTTTACAGATATATTAAAGACACAGCTTCTTTTAAGTTTCATTCAATGCCTCAACCATATGTTGCAGTAGCATAATTTAGTAAAGTATGTTGTACTTAATGAAGCTTCCAACAGCTGCCAGCTGGCAATCAACATATACTCTTTCCTAGTATGCTATAATTACAAATGAAATGACTTCTCATTTCCTTCAAAATTATATGTAACAAAATTTTTATCCAAAATATGGATGAATGATGTACTAAACAAAAAGTTAAGTAATTAAAGAAAAACATAATACTAACTGATGTTGTTGTTCCTCGTAGGAACTCGCATCGCTTTGTTCATAATCCAATATCAAATCATCAGAAGCAATAGATTCACAAGGAGATAACGTGTCAACGCTTCCAGCTCGGCTTATTCGTTTGCCATGATGAGGGCTGTTTGTTGCGTTTTTTCCATGTCCTGTACCTACAAAATTAATACCCCATTAATCTAATTTCCTCGAAATCAAATGCATCATTTTTACGATTCCGTAAATTTGATTATATTTACCTGTTTTAGGACTGGACTCGACTAGTGTGTGACTATTTTCCGTGACAGCTTGGCTAGCCATAATAGAGTGTGTTTCAGCTCCGGCTCTAGAATTATCGTCAAAGACAAGTCCAGGTTGATCAGCGATCTCGTCATCGAAGTATTCTCTTCCCTCCGACAAACTTAACGAATTCGAAACGTTGGTGGGTGTTCCAGGGCTCTCGTCGTCAATCGTATTCCCAGATTGCTCCATGGCGAACTCTTTCTTCGGAGCTTTGACATCTGACTGGGTGATGCTGGCTGTAAGGCTGTCGAAGAGACTATCGACTGGCGAGGTTTCATCGTCGATCAAGGTGGTCGAGGTAGCCGCAGCAGCTGCGAACGCAGGATCTTCGATGGTTAGAAGAACAGAACGCAAAGCTTGCTTCGGAACAGTTCCATTTTTGGCCGTGTTCGCGTTAATCTGCGCGTGTTGCGTCGAGGTGGATCTTTGACACTCGTCGCTGGAGCTCAACGAGTACTCGTCAGCCATGGCTTCTCCATGACCGTATTCAGGATCGTCCGAACTTGGGGGACTGAAGTCCGACTTGATAGAAGGAATCTTCTCGGAATGTGATCTGTCTTTGTAAACCTTCTCCTCGCCTAGACCCTCGTCGTACCCTTCCGAGGACGTGGTGGACATGGACGTCGTCGACTCGGTGTACCTATTGTCCTTATTAACGATTCTCTGATACTGTGTCGCCCTTTCCCGCACCAGCCCAGTGCTGGCTGCGGTGAAAGTTTTCGGCAGCGGGATAACCGATATTTCGGTGACGGTGCTGTCGTCGTCCCTAACGTCTCTCACGTCGAAACTTTTCCCATTCACAACCATCCGCAAATTCCTGGGTCTACCTATGCCTCGCCTTCTCGTCAACGAGCCGTCCGTGTAATCTACACCCCTCAAATCGCTCTCGCCGGGGCAACCTTGCTGACTTCCAACGCCCGAATCTTCCGTACCGGAACCCTCCTTGGAACTCGTCGAACTTTTAGACGTTGCGGAGACCTTCCTGCTCTGATTAGCAGCGGTCTTCGCGACCTTCGAATTCGTGTCGGTCATCCTTACGGCGTACTGAGGCAGAGGCAGATGACTGGTGTGCAGAGTGTACCTGCCGATTGGCTCTGGAATGTTGGATGTTCTACGATTCACGTCCGTATGAGTGGGATTAGGGTTATACGAAGTCGGGTGTTGTACGGTAGACGGTTTGGTCTTGGAGGGTGGTGGCACGTTGGTCACTTGAACCACCCTGTGCGGTTGTTTGACGAAACCTTCTGGCTGCTGTTGTTGTTGCTGCTGCATCTTCTCGTGGTTGTAATGACTCACGCTGTGGCTGCTGCGGATGTCGCCGACTTTATTAGTGAATTTGGTTTGCGGCTGACGGTAACCAAATCGGTTCGTCCTGACGGCGATGCCGCTAGCTTCCTTCTTGGGAGGCGCGAGTCTAGGCGTTGATCGACCTGACGACGAGTTGTGGATGATGTTGGTATCATCGTCACGCCTACGGTTTTGCTCGGGACCCGCTGACTTCGATCGTGGATGCAGTAAACTCAGCTCGATAGGCATACTCGTCTTCGGTACCGGTATCCCGGAGGTTGGTCTTCGTCGAAAACCAAACGACATTGCCGTGCCGCGGGTATGGGAACCGCCACGCTTCGATGCGCCCTTGTGTTCACCCTGGAACATCAAAGAAAACCACTTGAGAGTAAGAATGTCAAGAATTCCGGGAATGTTTTGGCAACCGCCTTCATTTTACACCGTTTTCATTTTATTCGGTAACATCTAGCGATCGATACAGCGAACATGTATTCCTGTTACGCAATAGTTTTCGTCGTCAGCGTTATTACTGCGGTAAACTAGCAGCAACACAGCGCTAATCTTGAGATTACAAATTTTTTGTGATATTTGGCTATTCGGTACCGAGATTGGAGTCAATTTTCAAAGGTCAGGAATTTTTGGAATTTGAAGACTTTCGAGATAAGGAAATTAATTATTACTTATTATCAATAATAAAGTTTCGAGAAAAGTTCTCTTCTGTTCGAAGACGTGATGATGATAACCGAAGGTCAGAGATATTGTTATCAGCAACTCTACGTCTTATAAGAGATCGTAGAAACTGCATAGTGGAAAGTATCATTGCATCATATTTACAAACACCTTTAACGATCGAGTGACGAAACAGCATCGATAATCAGTTATCGACGATTTTCTTTTTTACCCATTAACTTAATAAACTCGCTATATTCAGTTTCATCAATTATCGTCTCAAGTTTCTTGAGTAGTTTAATTCATTAGATATGCAAATTAATCTGGTAATTACTTGAAATTTTTTATTTTATTTACAAATTCATTTATATTTACAGGTCATTTTTAAATATCAAAATTTTCATGGTTCCAAAAATTTAGAAATGGACGAATCAGCTGATACAAAGAATTTATAACGTTTACACATGCGGTTCGGTATGGAATTTTTCAGAAATATAATTCATAATCTGATATACAAAAATAAGGAACAATGATATCGCTTGAGCACTTGTTTTGAGTCCAAACAATGTATCGATAAATCGCAATATCTTGACTTAACGTAGATCGGGTGTAACAGATAAACGCTACAGCGAAGCTAGAAGAAAAACGAAGTAACCCGATTCAATCTCCAGAAATAGAGTAACTCCGTCCCCAAATCACTAAACTTCCCTATGCTTTTCGTACTCTTGTCCAATTGCCAGTTTCGAAGCTGCAATTCAATGCACTCTTCGAAAGCGTCTTTGATATAACAAAATCATTTAATACGCAATACGTAACTTATATTCCCTATCAGTGTCACAAGTTTCGCTTTACACGAAACTTCAATCACGCAATAAAAACACAAGTGTTATATAGTCAAATGCTATAAAAATTGGAAGGTTGAATAATTTGGAAAATTGTGGATTCGAGAGTATGACGTTTGAAAATATGGAGATTTGCGAATTTGGAATTTTTAATAATTTGTAAAATGTTTGTTCGAAAATTTAATAAGAAAATATGTAACTTAAATTTCCAATCAAGTGTCTTTTAGCGATTATTGTTTATTTCTATTCAGTCGACTCAACCTATGAGCAACATTATCTTCGTTCAACGTAGGTACTCAACATATACCTTCAACACGTGGATCATTGATATGAGTCACTTCCATTATCGAATTATTATCACGATTTTAACAAACCGCCATGATTACTAATATAATATCGATATCCTTTCACGCTAAATTGCGCATTGACAGCAAACATCGTTTATCACACTGCGAATTCGTCGTCACAACAGCCGGCACCATAATATTCGTCGTATCATTTATTGGTTGAACTGTTGCCGCAACATGGAGTCGCACGTCGGCCGGAAATCGTTTGCCAATTACGTTTAGGTGATGTCGTTCCTAGGAATACTTTATAATAGCGTTTAAAAAGAAGAGGTAGCTAACGTTTTCTGCAAGGGAGTGCAATTTGACAACAATCTGGAACTGGCACGAGCTAACTTTATGGGGCGGGAATTTTGAATCTTGAGATTTTGTAGTATAACAATACGAAAATTTGAGAATAGGGAGAACTCGATCGTTTAGAAATTTAATGACGTAGAAAGTTAGGAAAATGGAGATTTGACAATTTGGAGAACTGTCAATGCGGTGATTTGGAACTTTAATACAGAAATTTGGAGAAATAAGATTTGGGGATTTGAGAGTTTAGGGAATTTAGAAACAAGGAATGCGAGAATTTGGAAAATTAAGAACTTGGGAATTTGACTAGGGACTTTAAGACTAGGTAAGTTGAGAATCTGATAATTTCAGAATGTGGAGAATTCAAAACCAGAAAGTCTGAGAAATTAACTTGGGAATTTGAAAACTAGATCTAGGAACATGCTTTTCGAAATATCAGTTGGACGACAATTTCGAAGATTACTTAAAGGTGTGGTAACTGAATTGTCGAATAAAAAAATTGGAATCGTAGAGGAAATTAAAAAACTATATTTTTAATTTGAAAAGTTAGTACTTGTGAGAGTCTGATAAGAAAACAGTAAAATATGTAGAAAATCCGTAAAAATAGAATTCCAGACGTCAAGGTCTCAGGTGTGGAACACTCGGCACATTCCACACGCAATTCGCGCCGGCCCTGATCGGAACACAGAAAAGGATGCATCCCTTACCGCAGCCCCGGTTCCTTTCTCGTTCTCCAGGATATCATCCTCGCACCTGGTGCCAGCAGACCGATAATCCATGTCTTCGTGGCCAGTGCGAGCCGGCTGTTAAAGAAGACTGTATTAGGATCGATCCCGGCTCGTCCAGCTTGCGGGAAGAAGGTTACGTTTGTCTCTTCTAAATCCGCAACGACGTCATCCTGCACCGTGGTGCGGGAATATTTTTAACCGAGGGAGACACCGGGCCGAATGTACCCGGCAGTTTTTTCCGCTCGAACAAACCTTCCCCGAGATCTGTCAAGCTCTTTTTCGAAGATCCTGCACACGTTCCGTATCGTACGCGTTGTCGCTAAAAAGACACACGCGCACCGATATCTTCGGCTCTCCCTTTTCCACCAACTACCACTTCTTCACCCTCTCATTCTGTTCTCGTCGATCGTACACGTTTCCTCCACCTGAGCTCTTCGTCTCTGTTCAACTAGCCTCTTCTTACCACCAGCGGCCGTGTACATGGCCAACGAAACGTGGAATAATCGATCGTGTGTTTAATGACGTAGAAAGTTAGGAAAATGGAGATTTGACAATTTGGAGAACTGTCAATGCGGTGATTTGGAACTTTAATACAGAAATTTGGAGAAATAAGATTTGGGGATTTGAGAGTTTAGGGAATTTAGAAACAAGGAATGCGAGAATTTGGAAAATTAAGAACTTGGGAATTTGACTAGGGACTTTAAGACTAGGTAAGTTGAGAATCTGATAATTTCAGAATGTGGAGAATTCAAAACCAGAAAGTCTGAGAAATTAACTTGGGAATTTGAAAACTAGATCTAGGAACATGCTTTTCGAAATATCAGTTGGACGACAATTTCGAAGATTACTTAAAGGTGTGGTAACTGAATTGTCGAATAAAAAAATTGGAATCGTAGAGGAAATTAAAAAACTATATTTTTAATTTGAAAAGTTAGTACTTGTGAGAGTCTGATAAGAAAACAGTAAAATATGTAGAAAATCCGTAAAAATAGAATTCCAGACGTCAAGGTCTCAGGTGTGGAACACTCGGCACATTCCACACGCAATTCGCGCCGGCCCTGATCGGAACACAGAAAAGGATGCATCCCTTACCGCAGCCCCGGTTCCTTTCTCGTTCTCCAGGATATCATCCTCGCACCTGGTGCCAGCAGACCGATAATCCATGTCTTCGTGGCCAGTGCGAGCCGGCTGTTAAAGAAGACTGTATTAGGATCGATCCCGGCTCGTCCAGCTTGCGGGAAGAAGGTTACGTTTGTCTCTTCTAAATCCGCAACGACGTCATCCTGCACCGTGGTGCGGGAATATTTTTAACCGAGGGAGACACCGGGCCGAATGTACCCGGCAGTTTTTTCCGCTCGAACAAACCTTCCCCGAGATCTGTCAAGCTCTTTTTCGAAGATCCTGCACACGTTCCGTATCGTACGCGTTGTCGCTAAAAAGACACACGCGCACCGATATCTTCGGCTCTCCCTTTTCCACCAACTACCACTTCTTCACCCTCTCATTCTGTTCTCGTCGATCGTACACGTTTCCTCCACCTGAGCTCTTCGTCTCTGTTCAACTAGCCTCTTCTTACCACCAGCGGCCGTGTACATGGCCAACGAAACGTGGAATAATCGATCGTGTGGAGTGCGCCGGCGTCGCGACGCCTCCACACACACCGCCGACACCGCCGCGCCGTGACACTCGCGTACACTGCGAACGAATGATGTCTCGAGTGCGCCCGCGCTTCCCTTTCGATGTGTTTCTATGTATATCTGTTCATCGGTTTCTGCCAGGAACGAATTCAAACGAATGCAGGCCCCGAACACTTGCAACCTTCCGATTTCATACGTAAACCGGTGTAAACAAATTTTTTATCTTGCGATAAAGATATAAATTATATTCTTTATAATAGGTTGATTGATGAATAATTTTATTTTATTTTTTTTATCAAGTTTTTTTTTGCAATTGTTATATTCCGAAATTTTTGTATTCCCAAACTTTGTGTCGTTGAATTTGTATGTTTCAGTTGTTCGTACCGAAAAATTTCTATTTTCGGATCACTGTATCTTTAAATTTCTATATTCTTTTTTAAATTATTTTATTTAAAAATCTTTTATTTTCAAACTTTCGCTCTTCTAAGTCTATAAATTTCTATATTTTCAAATACTGTGATGAAACATTTTTTTATAATTATGAGGAAATTGTAATTTATCTGAGCGCATTTTTGAAATGTCCTCTACGTGTTGTAAAATTTTTTCACAAATTTCGAATGATTCTTTGATCTTTGGAACATTTTCAAGTGCTTGGAACTGCAAGACACTGACTTTGAATCTTTCAAACTATTCTGGAATTTTGGAACGTTAGAACTTTAGGACTTTGAGATTATCAAAAGTTTAGATATCGAGGATTCTAAAATCCCCTTGGAATTTCTGTGGTATCCCCCTTCCACTGATGCCCCAAGCATGTGTATATTTTGCTTAATGCTTAATCCAGCCCTGGTTTCTACTGTTCTATTTACACCCAGTTACATAAAAAGTGGACCGCTAGGGGGATATTTTTCTAGTTACCGTTCGAGATGGAACTTAATCCTTTCGCTGCGGGAGAGTTCGACATGAAACCCTAAGTTGATGCCAGTAAAATTTGTACCGCTGACACGAAGCTTTAATTTCAAAATATAGAAGTCTAGATTTAAACATTTGAATTGAAAAATTTTTCTGATCAAATTTGAAGGACTGATTAGAGGATTTAAGTGTGAAAAAATTCACTACAGAATTTAACTTTGAAAGCCCAGATGTGAAAATTTAATTTTGCAGATTCAAATTTGGTAACATAAATTTAAATCATTAAATATGTAAATTGAAGTTTGCAACTTTTGAAACCATCATGGAAACCATACAATTCCTGAAACACACTTTTGATAACATAACTCCAGCCTTTGTACGGAAGCAGCTCTTACTATATTGCCAATTTCAAAAATCGTCAACTCGTACAATCCGATTATAATAATAATTTAATTAGTGTCTACAACACAAGACGTCCTACGTAAATGAAACATCTGAATTACCAGAATTGTCAGCAAATATGTATCCTTAATACAGCTTCTCTGCTTTTAATAGCAGTAAAAATTGGATGCTCAGATGGCACACCCTGTCCGTAAATATTATTACTTCGACAACATGTATATGATAAAAAATTGCCAATAAAAACCTATTTGTGCATCGACAACACGAAATGAATATCGCATGGGAGTGTTCTTGTAACGCTATAACATCGAGCTATTATATAGCGATGTACAATGTATATACGAAGCTGCGAATCAGACTGCAGTCTTATCAGCAACTCCACGACTGGAAGGAAATGTAAAGAGCATGTACCAAGAACTTCGCACAATATCCCTTTCAGACAGTACGATAAGCTCTCCCTTGTTCTTGAGTCATACAGGCTACAAGTCTGAGCCTCCTTCTGAATAGTCTCTGGAAAGCTAGCACTACTATTCTACTTGAATACTCTTAGTCTCTGCACCCTTTTCTCATTAGTATTACACTTCACGCACCGACAGTGTGCGCAACAGACTTCTCTTTCGGGAAAATGCACCCCTAATATATACGGGGTGTAATAAAAATATTTATAGACTGATACTAGGAGAAATAGAAATTTATAGATAAAATTACATCGTCAATCTTTGGTACTCATATTTATACATCATATCACATGTCGAATACACAGAATGTTAATAGAAAATTTTCAAAATGGAGGGTGAAGAAGTTTACGCGGGTTGTGTCAAGAATGGGTGAAGTTCAAATCTTCATAGGAATCACATTATTAAGAATTTGTTCATTTTTCTAATTAAAAGTAGTAACTACCTACCTAAAAATAGTAGGAACTATCAATAATAAGTGTAACATTGAATTTGTTAAAAATAAAAATACTAAAATTCCAACTCCATTAATGTGACTATCCGTTTGTCCGAAAATGGTTAAATTTCAGTCTTCAAAAGCAGTGTCAGACATTTCTGGGTACACTTGTGTATACTTCAAAGGAAGATGAACTAAGAAATGTCCCTGCACTACGTACAAGCTTTGAACACCCTTATTTTGAATGTGATTAATCCAAAAATTTAGTCGTGGTTCGAGACAGAAATTTCGGAATTTCAGTCCTAGTTCCTAAACTTCCTAAATCAAATTAAGCGTTTTTAACCAGAGGAAGCCTACAATGCACTCGAGTATACACGCAAAGAAGGTGTACAGATAACGTTTCCGATTAACGTGACGTCGATCCGATTCTTCTTGTTAATATGTATAAAACCGATGAGTCACCACACTTTAATACAGGCTACTGTCTCTATTTTCTAACGTCTTTACAACTACTTTACAACGTCAGCATTTTTAAATATAAGTCTACTGGCTTCGTTCCCGTCTGATAACTCCTTTGTTAAAAATATGTCACAGAGATACCAGTGTTCTATTTTCCTCTAAATTAGGTAGTTTATATCAAGGCTTTAGATTATCGCTTTAAACGATTCAGGATTAAAAGCTTCGTGTTAAGTAATTATGTTAGTGGATATTCGTTTGGTGAATATTGATCGACAGGGTGTTTTATAAAAGATATATTTGAAGCAAAATTTGAAACTCGGGGTTGACTCGAAATGAAAATTCAAATGAAAATTTTAGGTTCATGAACCTAATTTTTTATAGAAGGTTGAAGAATATAGTGTCTCATCAGGGAAAACATTATTTTTTAAATAATATTTCTAAACTGAATGATTGATTGCAAAAATATAATACTTTGAAAATATATATTTTTACGCTATTTTATAATTATTTTATTTTATAGCTGACCGTATTTCGATAAGAAAACAAAATAGCATAAAATTATCACGTCTTCTACTTCTTTTGATGTCATGTATTTGTTTTGAAATTTTTGTTCATGTAACAATTTACAAATAATTCTAATCTTTCTGTATATACTCTGAATGTGTAGATCATTTAATATCGAGCAAAAACAACTATTTACTGTACCATTATGTACTACACACATTACTAGAACATTACTAGAAAAAATGTTTATTCGTAAAAATTTAGTGTACTCAAACATCTTCTGTCAAAGGAGTTACAAGGTAATTATTTACTCTTCTCGTACATTTTTGCTTTCCTTTGAAATTCATGAATGACAGGTATTCTGCTCCAGTAACTAACACATCGCTTTTGCTCATTTACAAGTAGCTTAACCCAGAAATTAATCCGTCTGACGTTTCGAGAGTCTTCTGATTTAATTAAAGCTTCAATCCAGTGAAAGTGAGATTTTTTTCTTTCTATTTTACGGAAATCATTAAGAACGTTTTGTGCACTCGTACTGTAAAAGTAAATGGTACTTCTACGATCCACACATATGCAAATGTGTACGAGATCGACTTTCTGTATCGTAGATTTTGAGAACTTTCTTTTTAAACGGAACTCTGCATATTTAAATTGATTCCTTCAAGGATTTCTATGCTTTGAAATACGTATATGTTATACGTGAACCATTTTTTAAATATTTCGAACCTTTTGAATAAAAAATCTTTTAAATTTAAAATATCTTAGTTATGTATTTTATGAAGTATCATTACACATGTGCAGTTTATAGAATTACTTATGATATTTTGTTTATAGAATTACTTATGATATGCTAGATATGTATATCTCTGTTTAAACAGGAAGTGGAAGTTTTAATGGAAGTGAATGGTAAAATTAAAATTGTGAATCAATGAGTAGTGAAATAGCGCAATAGTGAATAATGAATATTGAGGTAAATATTGAATAGTGAATACTAAAATAGTCAAATGATAAAATTATGTAAAGTTGCGAAATAATAGAATAGTAAAATGCTGAAACAGTAGAGTAGTGAAATGATAAAATAGAAAAATAGCGAGATGCTAAAATAATAAAGTGGTAAAATTGTTAAGTTGTAAAATAACAAAGTGGTAAATTTGTTAGTCAAATGATAAAATTATGTAAAGTTGCGAAATAATAGAATAGTAAAATGCTGAAACAGTAGAGTAGTGAAATGATAAAGTGGTAAAATTGTGAAGTTGTAAAATAATAAAGTGGTAAAATTGTTAAGTTATAAAATAATAAAGTGGTAAAATTGTGAAGTTGTAAAATAACAAAGTGGTAAAATTGTGAAGTTGTAAAATAATAAAGTGGTAAAATTGTGAAGTTGTAAAATAATAAAGTGGTAAAATTGTGAAGTTGTAAAATAATAAAATGATAAACTAATAAAACAGTAAACCAGTCAACTAACAAAAACAGTGAAAATACAAAGCCTATCAAAAATAATAAAATACGAGAATACTCGAAAATAAAACACAGAACTAGTAAAATAATAGAATAACGACGACAAAAAGTACCGTTAAAAAATTCAGAGCAATCCTAACGTTTTGTTCGGAAACTACAACTGCGGTTTGAAGGATAAACACAACTGAACAATTTTAATTCCTGCGCTCGCAATTGCTTCCATACAATACGAGTACGCACAAACATCGCCTCGCGTAAAAGACATACATACAAGGAAGTTTCTTTACAAGGAAGAAGTGAATGCAGGGAAATACCATTGTTCAAAATATGAATCGCAAAGAAACGAGACAAAAAAAAAAGAAGCGGAGAAACTTCTCTTTCTCCGCATCTCGAGCGTAGGTGTTGATC